GGGCCATGCAGTTAGAGCTCTCCTTCTTCCACGCCCAGCTCGCTCCCTTCCCTGCCACACCACCGCCGCCGCTGCCGCCTACCCCACGGCGTCCGACGCCCCCCACCTCCCTCCAGCATGGCGGGCTTTTTCCACCTTGCTTTCCCAGGAAGGGGCGAGGGCAGGCAGGGAGGCGTCAGGAGGAGGAAGGGAGCGGGCGGTGAGGGAAGGCAGCGGGCGTGGTGTTTGCAGTGGACTTTGACGGCACGTGCACCGTGGACGACTCCAGTGCCCTGCTCGCCCGCCTTGCCCTCGCCCACGCCGCTCCCCCGCCGGCAAGGGCATTTCTACCAACGATGATGCAGCTGCTGGTGGTGTGGTGAGTGTGTGTGGCAGCAGGCAGCAGGTATGGACGACCTGGTGCAGCGGTATGTGCGGGACTACTCTGACTTCATGCACGCCCATCTGCCACCCACTCATGCTCACAGGGACAGCAGCAGTAGCAAGCAACGCAACAGCAGAAGCAGCAAGCAGGGACGGGATGAAAGCAGGGAGAGCAGCCGCACAGCCGGCAGCACCCCCGCCCACCTCCCTCCCGGACCTCCTCCCCTTTCTCCACCGCCTCTCCTCCTTCGAGCCGCGGCCATCAGCGCGTGACAGGTGTCGCCGCCCTGCAGGGCATCCCCCGGACGCCATGCTGGCAGCGGCCAGGAGGCTGCTGACGTGGCGGAGGGGAAGGGGTGGGGCAGGGCCGGGGGAGCTTCAGGTCTGGATGTGGCGAGTGCTGCGGCGAGTGGAGGGGGAGGGTGGTGTGGTGCAGGTGGTATCTGTGAGCTGGTGTGGGGCGTATGTGGGGAGGCTGTGAGGCATGCCATGCGGATGGCAGGGGGGAAGAGGGGTGAGGGGACGCAAGAAGACGGCAGAAGGAAAGGAGGGGGAGACAGAGTGCGGAGAGAAGATGTGGCAGTGGTGGGGGGGCCGAGGGAGGAGCAGGAGTGGGCAGCAGAGTGGTGGTGAGAGCGAATGAGATGGAGTTTGATGAGCGCGGTGTGTCACAGGTGCTGTGAACTTCCAGGTGCAGGGAGCCATGGATAAGGATGTTATCTTCCATGCTCTCACCCACGACACACTGCCACACACCACCTCAAAGCACGGCAATGAGGCGGCACCCGCATCAGCATCAGAAGCAGCACCAGCGGCGGCAGCACCAGCATCAGCAGTACCAAGCTCAGGGATGGCAGCAGCACCATCACCATCCGACCCCCCCATGTCTCCTGCCTTCCTCCCTCGCTGTTCATCGGAGACAGCACAACAGACCTGCTGCCGCTGCTGCGAGCACAGGTGGGCGTGGTGATGGCAGGTGGGCATCAGTCTAGAAAGGGTCATCCAGCCTTAGGTGTCCACCGCCTGCCACTGGTGGCGCTGGCTCTGCTGCACATGCAGCAAGGGGCGGCGGGAGAGGCGAAAGTGAATGGGGAGGGGTGTGTGGATGCCCGCCCTGTGATGGAGGTGGCACCATGGACGCTGCTTGATGCGAGCTGCTGGGAGGAGCTTGAGGTGTTTCCTCTTTGGATTCATTTCACTGAAATTGATAGCGGTGGGTCTGGCAATGATGCCATTCATGGTTAGTAGTGTTATAGTGGAGTTTCCTTATTCATTATAGCACTCAACATCAGGATTGAGAGCTTTCAACACATTTTATACACATGCAAAGCATCACAGTTTGGACAGGAGTTAGCAGAAGCATGAAAAACATCTGGTTGGAAGGGAACGGGGTAAGGGCAACAAATCGAAACAAACTGAATCAATGGGGAGTACGCATGCTGGTTGCCCCTGTGCCTGAGCTCGTGCCTGTGATGCTCGTGCCTGTTGGTACAGCTTTGCCGTTGCCTGCAGCAGTCCTTGCCCTTGTTGGCGCTGCTCTAGTCAGTTGCTGGTACAGCCTTGCAGCGGATAACTTCTTCAAACTTCAAAATTCACGTGACCATCTGTTTCCGCGCTTGCATTATCCCCGCAATTCACGCCGGCTGAGTCTCGTTATCTGCGCATGATGGCTCGTTCGACGGTGTGAGCAGCCCAGCACGGTGGACGCAGCGGCCTTCCAGAAATCCTGGAACGCCATGTTGTGCTGCTGCCACCTGTTCTCGAGCTCCACCGCGGGCCCCATTGCTTGAGCGACTGGCGCCACGACGATGTGCCGTTGACGGCGTGCTGCCACCCGCTCCTCGCCGCCACGTCCAGCGCGGGAACAACCGTCCCGCCGGCGAACTTGACGGCCTTGTCCCCGCGTAGAAAGCAGCTGCGAGGAGAGAAAGGAAGAAAGAAGGTTACAGGCGCAGCAATGAGATTCAAGCGCAAGTGCAACTGTTGAAAAAGGAAGAAAAAAACAAACAAACAAGTCAATTCAATTCTGCTCTGCGTACCATCGCATGGCAATCTCGCGAAATCGCTGGCGGGGAGACCAATTCCGATGCCGATGAGAGTGCCCCAATGTTAAAGCCCACGCCGCACCCCGCACCCACGTATCCGACCACCTCTGGACCGAACCCCGGACCCCATCCCACGCCGCACCCCAAGCCGAGGCCGAATCCCCAGAAAGCGCCGACCGTAGATGCACTGGGTTCCACCGCTTGTACTTCGGTATAGATGGATAGCGTCATGCAGATGCAGGGTGACCCAATTCCAATTTATTTTTATCAAGATACACGCACACCACAAAATACAGTTTGACAGGTTGACTTGGTTCTTGGACACCAATAACTGGAGAGGGGACAGGAGCTGCTGCGCTCAGGTACTCTCAAGTAGGCTCACACAATGCAGTAGACACAGGTGTGGTAGCGAAGTGCTTGGCATTGATGATTGTTGGGACCGGTGGTGCTGAGAGGCGAGGAAAGGAGAGGAGTTCCTCGGGCACGTCACATAGAGCAAGGAGAATCCGAGGATAAGGGCAACGCTGGAGAGAGGAGAGGGGTGAGGATGGGGATACAGGAGACGAAGCACCGACGCCGAGAGGTTTCTTGTCACGCTACTTGACGGAACGGGCTTGTTGGGATTATTTGTTCTGGGCAAGTTGGATATCAGGCTGCTTGATTGGCTCCAGGCAGGAAATTTCAAAGAAGGGCAGATGAAAATTCACAGGGCTCTGGATGGTGGGTGAATTCATCATTTTCCGTTTCGTCGTCAGTTGCACTGTCGAGAACACGTCCGTCAGAGGCTCACGATTGTTCTTCACCTGCGAGTGTGACAGTATTGTGTGCTGCGCTGGCAGAACATTCCTGCTAGCTGACTCCGCAACGCACAAATGTAACCAATGAAATAGCGGTTTCTGCCTCATCCGATACCGAGTGGCTGCTGATAGGGCGGAGGACTATCCCTGTTGGACGACACCTCCAAAAGGTAACGTCACGTGCCAAGCTGTGCCACGAAGGCTGGTAGAATCTCCACGCTAAAAGGTCGAATCACACCCGTCCTATTCACCCCGCACCTGGTTAAATTCATGAACAAGCCACTCTTGGAACACTTGTTGAACACTGGAATATTGGACTGTTTCTTATAGAATCCTAGATTGAATACCTTCACTTCTAGGTAGAACTCAAGTCAGAATGGTACTAATGGATTCTAGCATCTATGCGCCTGACAGGTTCTTTCCGATAGTGTGAGAATGATAGTCACTGTGCAGTGATTTAGTAGGCCGCAGTTGATTCCTCACCTCTGGTGCATCCTCAGGAGAGCCCGAGGTTATTCGTAGTGACAAAAGAAAATATTTAGCATCTACTTTATAATTGGATTCACAAATCAAACTACAAGGCCTAATTGCTCGTATGGCCACACATGGAAGTCTGTAGAAAAAGTGACGAGTAATCTAAGCCTAGGCCAGCCACCAATAGCACAGATGGCGGAGAGTATCACGCACGCAGGGCAGCGTGTAGTAGGAGCAAAGATAAGGGCTGTGGTCGTCAGTGGTTTGTGAATGCAGGACATGGTGCAAGTGATGATGGGGATAGTCAAATGGCAACAGCAATCCATGGAAGTGCAGCATGATGCTGATGATGGGAGCAACCAAGAAATGTGATAGCAAATGGAGGTGCTTCTATAATGGGTGTTAATGCAGGTGCATGACATGCAAACCTGGAATGCGAAAGTTGGTCATGCCATACATGTGAAACCAACTTTCACATGGTGCAGGAATGGAGATGCAGCAACCATGGTGCAAGAGACACATGCATCACAGGCTGACAGACATGCAGAACATGGTACCACCACTGACACGTAATGACATGGCATGACAGAAGCAGTGCAATGGCAGCGTCAGCCTGCGATGTTGGGAAATGGAGGTAAGGGGGAGAGGAGAGGAATCACGAAGGGCTGAAGAAGTATGTGGGCAATGGGCATACAAACAATTGCTGTCATTGCAATCCCTGCAAACGACATGCATTCCCCCCTCCCCAACCACCCCTTCCCTCCCTACTACCTTCCCCTCTCCCTGCTCTCCCCCTTTCCCTTCTCCCTCCTCCCTCTTGTATCCCGTCATCGCACTCACCCTAACAACACATGCATGAAAGCGGGTCAGTCAGAGTCACTGGAGGAGCGAGAGCTGTTGGACCTGCCATGGCGTCATGCGATCAGTCACGAGGCCATGGGGGAAGGGGCGGAGGGGAGGATTGGGGAAGAGAGGCATGAGACGGGATCAGAGAGAGCTCAGGGGGGGGGATGGCATGGCATGGTGTGCTGTGCGCTGCCAGTCAGAGCACTGGCCACGCCTTTTTCAGGGGGGGAGGGGGAAAGGCGGCGAGAAAGAATTATGTCCATTGCATGAGCAAGAGGAATAGAATGGCACGTCGTAGGCCAAGAGGGAAGTAAATGCTTGCATGGCACGAGCTTGCCGGCATGGCATGGCCATGGCATGCCCTGCTTGCGCTTCAAACCAACATTGCGGCACCTCAGGCGAACAGCACCTCCAATCGCTCCTCCCTGTGTATGCCCACCCGCCTCTTTTCCCCTAAAAACAACTCCCCCTAACTACCAGCGGGGTGCCCTGAGGGGATCAGGCGCCTGATTGAAGCGTGCTGGGCGAGGGACCCTGCAGAGAGGCCGGACTCACACGCACCGTCACTCCCTCTCTTCCTCTCCCCCACTCATTCTCGCTTCTCCTCCGTTATTCAGCTGCACTCCAGAGCTCTCACGGCTCACCTGCTGGGGCTGCTCTTGGCTGCCCGCTTGCGAGGAGGCGACCTCTGCACACCAGGATAAGGGGGCAGGGCAATGTTTGCAGTGGAAGGCGGGGGAATGGATGAGAAGAGGAGCACGGAAAGCGGTACATTCAATCGCACGCAGTTGAGAAACCTCCATGCGTGTAGGCAGGCAGCACCAGTCTGTCAAGATTCCCAGCCAATCATGGCCCACACTGCACAGAACAGCCACATCTCGCCAGGATCAACCCGCTCCCCCCATCCGCCCTTCCCCGTGCAGTGCTGCAACACACCCACCCAATCTCAAGCCCAGATGTGCCTCTCCTCCCCCCACCCTTCCCCCTTTCACTCACCCGGCGCCGGTCGCCGTCGGACGAGGAAGTGGCGGAGGAGGACGAGGGCGACTCTGACCGCGCCCTCTTGGGCGGAGGGGAGCGATCCGGCCTGCACGGGGGACACAAAGACACGGAGGGAGTCACGCGATTGAGGATAGAGGAGCGTAAGGCACAAGGACAGGAATGAGTGAAATGCTAGGCTGGAGGGAGAAGATGAGGGGAGGGACAGGGAGTGAGCAGACGAGAGAGCGGGAGAGTGGATGGGGAGTGAGGAGAGGGATGGGATGAGCTCAAACAAAAGCATCTGGAAAGAGGAAAGAGGTGGGGAGCATAGGAGTGGGAGGAAGAGGTGGGGAGCATAGGAGTGGGAGGAAAAGGTGGGGAGCAAGGAGGTGGAAGGAAGAGGTGGGGGAGCAGACCTGCGGGTGGGTGGTGGTGGTGGCAGGCGCTGGCGTCGAGAGGGCGGGGAGCGCGAGCGTGTGCGGGAGCGGGAGCGGCGGCGCATTGGGCCTGGGCTGGAGCGACGAGCCGGGGGCGAGCGGCGAGGGGGGGAGGGCCGACGCGCGGGGGAGGAGCGGCGGCGAGGGGGGGGCGACCTGGGATGGGGGAAGAGGGAGAAGAGGGGGAAGAGGGGGAAAGGGGAGGAGCAGATGAGGGAGTGACGTGGATGTGAGTGTGTGGTTGAGTGGGTGACAGTGCGCATGAATGGATAACGGGGAACAAGTGGAGAAGCGGAAAGGAGGTGCGGAAGTGGAAGCAAGAGGAGGAATTGGATGGCAGGAGGCATAGTAGGGGGAGAGGTTGGTGAGGCTTTGGAAATGGGGCGACGAGAATATAGCTCGTAAGTCAAGGTGGGTAAAGCGTGGAAGGTGGGTAAAGCGTGGAAGGTGGGTGAAGCGTGGAAGGTGGGTAAAGCGTGGAAGGTGGGTAAAGCGTGGAAGGTGGGTAAAGCGTGGAAGGTGGGTAAAGCGTGGAAGGTGGGTAAAGCGTGGAAGGTGGGTAAAGCGTGGAAGGTGGGTAAAGCGTGGAAGGTGGGTGAGCAATGTGAGGAGGTTGCGGAGAGGGTGGGATGGGCGGTGGCGCGGGAGGGTGGAAAAGGTGGGAGGGAGGGAAGGGTGAGAAGGGTGCGTGGGGTGGGGACGGTAGGGAAGGTGGGGAGTGTGGGGAGGGGGGGGTGGGGAGGATGGGGAGAAGGGAGAGGGCGGTACCTGCGGCCGCGGAAGGGGATGGGGGAGCGGCGTCTGGGAGGGCTTCTCACGCGGCGAGGGGGAGAGGCACTGCGCTGCCTGCGAGGGGGGGAGCTGTTGGGCGGGGAGAGGCGGAAAGCGAGGGGCGCAACACAACCACGGGGAGCAGGAGATGCAGGGGACACACTGGGTGAGCCACGCATCAAACACCAAATAGTCCTGACAATGGCTTTGTTCCGTGCCTTTCCCTTCCACGCCCTTTCAAGTGAGCACATGCGCTCCCATGCCCTACCACGATTCACGCCCTCTCATTCCGCATGCTTCCTCTAACGCACTCCCATGCTCCCAACGCTGCCCGATCGAGACCCTTCACGTTTCGGCGCTCAGCAGCCAACCAAAGCGTCATTCCCCAAACCAACCCACTAAAAGGTTGCTATCCGCGCTGTCTCCCGTCCCCCGTCCGCCCTGACCTACCGCACGGGCGAGCGCCTCCTTCCCCCTCGGGGCGGGGACGGCGACCTTCCCCTTGCGCCGCCTGCTCTCCCGGGGGACCTCCGCCGCGGCGACACCCCCCTGCCTCCCCGCTCGCCCTCCCTGCCCCGCTCCGCCTCCGCCCCCCTGTCCCCTCTGTCCCTGTCGCTCGGCCTGTCGCGGTCCCGCACGTCCGCACGGCGGCGCGGGGGGGAGTCGACGGCGCGGCGAGGGGGGGGCGGGGGGAGCGGTTCTGGGCGGCGCACGGGCTTTGGCGCGAGCACGAACTGCGCGCTCACCACACTGCCGTCGATTTGCGCCTGTCGGGGATGCGCGGCGGAGAGGGGGAGGGGAGGGGGGGGGGGGAGGGGGGGATGGAGGGGGAAGGAGGGGAAAGGGATGGGGAAAGAATCAGGATGGATATGGAAGGATGAAGGGGGATAGGTAGCAATGAGTGGGGTTGAAAAGGGATGAGGCATGGACTGGGACTCAGAGGGATCGGAAACATTCACGTGCATTGCGCTCACTCACCCCATCCATGTGCAGGCGCGCCTTCTCCGCATCGGCACGCTTCTTAAACTCCACGTACCCGTAGCCCTTGGGCAGATTCACCTGCGACGACGCAGACACAACGAGGAAGGAACGGCGGCACACAAGCGAGCGGGTGAGAAAGGAAAGGAGCAGAGACGGCAGCGAGACATGAGCAAAGGAACGCGTAAGGAAAAGGCAGAGAAGGAGGCGACAAGGATGGCGGAAGAAGGAGAGGGAGGGAAGGCAGCGGGGAGAAGGCGAGGGCGACTCACGACGCGGTCCATAGCAATCTCCACCTTGCTCAGCTCGCCGTACAGCCCTGCACGCGCGCGCGCGCGCACACACACACACACACAGGTCAGGGAGAGCCACGGCCGATGCGTGATAAGACGACACTACAGATTGTTGTTCTTTTTTTTTTTTTTTAAGAACGCGAAGCGTAAGGACATCCGCACGGCACGTGGCCGTGCGGTGCGGTGCGGTGCGGAGCTCACCGAATATTTCCCGCAGGTGGTCCTGGTTGACGTTGCGCGTGAGGCAGCCCACGTACAGCATCGTCGTCTCGGGCGTCGCTGACCGCTTCCTGCCGCCATGCGGATATCGGGTTGGAGATATGGGTGGGGGAACGGGTCGGGGATGAGTGCGAACGCACTAGCACATGGGGAGTGAAAGAGACGAGCACATGCGCACGACGAACAGATACTAAGTTACGAGGTATTAGGGCGTGACGACGTGTGCACGCGGCTATGCTAGCACACCTGTCATTGGGCGACGGGCTTCGCTTCTTCTTGCTCGACTCTGTCGTCGGCCTCGCACTGCACGACAGGGATACGCGCGCACGACACACGATCGCACACACTTGGTTCCAAATACCGTGACCCCCCAAAACCTAATCACTGAGATTCCTAAACGGGAAGTTACACTGAAGGAGAACGCTTCGCTAGACGATTCGAGATTGAGAGAGAGAAAATGAAGAGGCGATGTTCAACAATCTACGGTCACCAACAATCCTGGATTGAGAAACGGAACATAGACGAAAAGATGACCCGCGATCAACGCACGGACCCTTTCTTAGGCGGCGGGCTGCGGCTTCTGGACGAGGCTGAGTCGGAGCGAGAGGGCGACGCGGAGGAGCGCGAGCGAGACGAGCCGGAGTAGGAGGAGGAGGGCGACTTGGACTTCGAGTTGGACTTGGACTCCGACGACGACTGCTTCGCCATGGCTCCGATAGCCTGAAATACAACACGATCTACTTGTTTGGAGCAGCGAACTGCTCAGCCTAGCAACGCGATGCAGCTGCTGACAGCACCAGGCATTACCACCTAAGATACTATTGATTATCTAGTAATTGACGGCGTTGGTGAATGGTGGAAACTTACATGGAATGGAGGAAGCCAGTCGGTCCTGGCGATCTCGATGGGCTTCAGTTTAGACTGGGAGAAGGCCTTCTCGAATCCTCTACATGTGGTAGCCCCCGCCTTCAGAAAAACATTTCACCCAGTGCATACAAATGTACAGTTTTAGTCCTTATATTTCGTGGAGTAGAGACCAATATGGAACTAAATGGAGAGTAAGAACAGTTGGCTTAGGCAGACGACTAGAGAGACGGACACTCTCATGTGCATTAACGACTTTGTGGTCGTCAGTGCAGCAGACGCTGTTCATGCTGCGAGTTGACCGATTAAAAAAATGCACAACTACCCGTAACTGGAAACCACACAGGAACTTTGTGCCATTTTTAGAAAAGCAGGTCATACAGCGGCAAGGAGAGAAGCTAGTGTGCAAAGCTAGACGGAGTACTTATCCGAGGCTGACCTTGACCCTTTCTGGTCCGCCTGCACAGGGAAAGATAACGCGTCAGAGAACAGAAGGCAGTTGTGCTCCGAAATCTCTCATACAGCAGCAAAAGGAACAAGCTAAGGAGCAGCAGCGTTCTCATAGACAGCATGCCAAACTCACAAAAGAAGAGAACCCGATTTGCTCCGTCACGCCCAGAATCTCCTTCAGTTGCTTGCCAATGCTCGTCTGCACCCAGGATCAGCGGGAAAGATAATGTTGCCATAGATCTCAGAACAACCATCACATGCCAGGTTGAAAGACCACAGTGGAACCAAAGGTGCAGTGCAAGCATGGAAGCTCCAGTTGTACCTGAATGGATTCGCTGGCAGCGGATTTAGTCCAGAGCGCCACTCTGTCCTTGTTTGGTCGGATGCTCACCACGGCGCCACAGATGTCGTTGCCCTCGTCAATCTGCTCGCCTATCATCGCCAGCATCTGCATTGCAGGACATTCGGGGGTGGCACCAGGGCTGGTTGGTTGGACAAGGCAACTATTGTACAAAGCAAGAAGAGGAGGTCGTCACGCAGTAAGACTACTGGCACATGGCAAGGTGTCACTCTAATGCGTACGGGGCACACCCGAAATCGCCAAGTCATGTCCAGAGAGTCATCTTGAACTGCAAACAGGCAGGCAATGAGGCATGTCTCACCAAGTGCAGCCACATGTTATCGAGGTACTCCTTGCTCCGCGAGCACGGGATGGTCCAGGAGCCGCCCTTCTCGCACTTGGGGTCCTCCCACTTGGGTTGAATGCCCTCCTTGAACAGATGCATGTCCGCCTTGTTCATCAGCTTGCTCGGCTGCACTATGTTGTTGTATAAACTGCCCAAGAAGAAAAAAACGGGACAAGGCAGAAACGAGGGTTAACGATGGGAGTCGTGAGGTGGAAAGGATCGCGAAACGGCGGAAGGTCCTGAGCACTCCCTTAGGAGCCAAACCACCAAAGACGAATCGCTTAAGAGAGATTGATTGACGACAGCTTAGAAGAGTCGAAACGCGAGCTTAGAAATCGAAACAGGAGTAAACGCTAGGTTGAGCCACGCACCACCAGAAGTCCTCAACGGTCCCGAACGTGAAGATCACGCGGAGCGAGCTACCCCACGAGCCGCCGCTTTTCCCGCGTTGCTGCGGGTTGTCGAACCAGAGCGTCCAGCGGTGCTCGAGCGGATGCTTCACCAGCGCTTCGCTCTCCGTCGCCGCTCCTCCTGTCTCCGTCTTCTCCGCCGCTGCTGTGTTCGTCTCTGTTTCGGTCTGATCTATAGCCGCCATGTCTTGAGCGACAAAACAAGAAGACGAACTGGAAATGGAAGTGCTAGAGGTTTATTTATCAAAACCCTATTCCTTCTAGGTCAGCGACACGCGGAGACTGAAGATATCAGTCCAATTTCACTGCAAGATATAACTGTGTTTTCAAATATACTTCAATGTTGATCTAATTCCAGCTAACATGCAGTGACTGGGATGAGAAGAGAAGCGACGAGATGTCCCGCTAAAATCACAGCGCAAGTGACGCTGTTGGAGGATGCACGGGAGGAGGGGGAGGTGGATAGAACACAGCGAGAGGACATGGCGGAGGTGTGGTGGCGAGGGAATCGAGAAGGATGCCGAACAGCATAACTACGTTATTACGGTACCCTTCATTTCTGTACAACGCTATGTACAACGAATGTGGTCAGTAAATTGAGTCCATCAGAAAGTATTCATCAGATGAGCCATTCACCAGTCACAGTACCACCCATCTATGTGTAAGAAGTTGCATGCCATAAAGTATACATCTGAATAAGTCATATTAACAAGCCTAAAACCTGTACAAAGCATGCCAACTCACCTTCTAATGTGATACAAGGCATGTCGCATGAACCTCTGGGGATCATGTGACAAAGCCCTAAACAGAACAATCAACACAGGGTCGCACCGAGCTGCCCTCTCAATCAACTCATCCTGTTCGTCTTCAGACATTGCCAGCACTCGTGGTTCTTCCTCCCTCCTCACTTCCTCTCCAGTTCCTCCCTGCCTCGTTTCTCCCAGCTCCATCCCTTCTCCCCCTCGTCCTCCATCCTGCTCTGATTTACTGGAGGGCAAGAGGCGGGAGACAGAAGCTTCCATTATGGTTGCTGTGAATGGCAGCTGATTGGCTGACTCAAGAGCACAGACGCTGCCATTGGAGGGCCCACCTGCTATTGGGCCTGAGATTGCTGCATTCCCACCCTTGGGTTCTGAGCCTGGTGCTGTTGCTGCTGCTGGTGCTGCTGATGGTGCTGTTGAAAAAGCTTGTGATTGTGCTGTATTGGGTATCAAAGTGGGGGAGGAGGAAGCGGCAGTTGAACAAGGAGGAGACGTGACGGACAGTGTTGCAGAGGTGGTTACTATGAACTGGATCATGGCAACAGCGATGTCGGCATCACTCATCCCCTGTACACCCTGCGTCTCCCAATTGTCACGCCGGCTGCTATCACCAGCAGCAAAAGCAGGTGCTGATGTGCCTGGACTCGTCCCCATTGACTGGACGGATGTGGCTGCTGCTGGTGATGGTGGTGCTGGTGGTGGTGCTGGTGGTGGTTGTGCTGTTGCAAGTGGTGCACTTGCTGCAGTTGGCATTATTGCTCGTGATTGTGCTGCGACTGTTGGTGCTACTGCTGCTGCTGAACTGCTTCCCACAGATGGTGAAAGCAGTCCCAACATTCCTGGGCGTGCCACTCCTGCAGCAGCCACAGCACCATTGGCTGCCTCTTGGCCTTGCACCATTTGCTGCGCTGAAGCCTGCATGCCTCCATTTCCTGCTGCTGGCACTGCTGCCGCCTCACTCTGCTGTGCCCAGCCACTGCTGCCACCGTTACGCTCACCCCACACTAAATCATCACCCATGCCCCCAACTCCTAGATCAGCCCAGCTACTCCTCCTACCAATGTTTCCATCACTTTCACTGCTACTGCTACTGCTGCTGCTAGAGCTGCCGCTACTGCCGATGCTGCTACCTACACTCGTTGCCTCACTGTCGCTACCACCAGCCTTCCCTCCAATGGCAGCACCAGCCGCTGTGGCCTTGCTACTTCCACCCCCAGAAGCGCCAGCTGACCCTGCTGCAGCAGTGGGTGAGGGCATGGTCTTGGCAGCGCGGGAGGGCAGGCAGTGCAGGGAGGCAGGTGTGCGCGACCAGATGACAAAGCCAAAGTCCGGGATCAGCGCCAGGTCCTTGGCCAGGCGCAGGGGCTCCTGGGAGGGGGAGGGACAGCAACAATTGAGTCATTGTTAGAAGATACAATGTTATTCACTTCCATGGACAGGCAGGAACATACATACAGAGTGGGACACAAGCAAAGGGGCAGATGCATCATCACAAACACAATGTGTGGAGCTGGGTGGGAGGTGGTGCAGTGAGGCACTGACCACAAAGTCCCCAGAGTTGGGGATCCACAGCGCCAGCTGCTCCACCTCACTGGCGCCCGCAAGGCCATTCGCCAGTGCTATCTTGGTGCGCACTGCATTCTGCCCGAGCAGAGGGGAAGAGTCGCAGGGAGGGTGGAGAAGTGTGACGCACAGGGAAAGTGATGTGAGAACTGCGAGAAGCATAACTCTACTTTCACAGCTGTACTGAAAGGAGCATGGGGAGGATTTGCGATGTCGGGCGCTCATAGCATTATCGCTTTTTTGGTTCAGTGTTCACCCAGGGAGCAATAGATAACAAGGCACGGGTTCCAGTAGTGGAGTAGTGAGAAGTGGGGTTGAGACTGACGAGGGAGGGCACACGGATGGTGATGGACTTCATGTTGCCGTTGGGCGCATCGTATGCCTCCAGGTCCCACTCTATGCTGCGAAACGTCTTGCCAAACACCAGCGTGCGCCAGTACAGCGCCACCTGCAAGGGGGGCCAATGGACGGACACACAGGGAGCAGGGAGAAGCAGGTGGGAACGGGGGCGACTCTGAATGCAACACAAGCGTCTCACAAAGCACTGAGGAAGCGCAAGAACAAGGCTGGAGTCCATATTGAAAAATCTCAATCGATGCGAAAAGCGATCGTGGAGAAGGGATGGAGCGTGAGAAGAAGGGTGGGCGCACCAGGCTAGCGCCTCCAAAGGAGCGCCAGAGGGCGTCCATCTGCGGCACCACTGCCACGGCCACTGGCGCCGCTGCGGCTGTCTTGGCTGCGAAGCCCAGCCCTGCCATTCCAAACACTGTGCCCGCTGCACTGGCTGCTGGGCCAAACAGCATCCACCTGATGGCATGTGCGGGAGGAGCATGGGTGGTCGGGGACAAGGCGAGAAGGCAACAGGAAGTGCAGGAATATGGTGCGGAGGGAGTGGTGATGCTGCTGTTTATAATTATCATACTCCCCTTGACAACCTATTTTATGACCCCTTCTCACATCCTACGACGGATTTTCCTGTCTGAAACCTCTCCCAGCCTCACCACACCCCACCCAACCCCACGCCACCCTCCCAGTCTCACCAGGGTTCCTTCTCCACAACGGCAGGCTGGGGCGCCACGGCCTTGAGCCACTCCTGCACGTTCACATACACAAACGCGCCTGCCGCAATGGGCAGCACCATCAGCACCACCATCGTCGCCACCTCCACCACTGTGCTCTGAGTCGCCGCCGCCACCACCCCCGCCCTCCACCGCCGCAGCCTCTCCTCCGTCCGCGCCTTGCTGCTCATCCCCTCCTCCCCTTCCGCCTCCGCCTTCCGCCCCCGTCTCCGCTTCCTGATCCTCCTCCCCCGCGCGTCCACCTTCCACCTTCCCCCGCCCGCCTCCTGCCGCCGCTGCTCTTCCCGCGCCAGAAGCGCGTCGCGCGCGTACTCGTTATAGAGTCGCGAGAGTTGCGGGTCCTGGCTGACTGCCTGGCGCAGCTCCCCCCACTCTTCCTCCAGAGTCGAGCCCTCGATCCCGCCGCGCGACACCTCCTGCAGCAACGCCATCTCCACCACTGCGCGCTCTAGAACCTTCCGCTCCGCGCCCTCTGCTTCCGCGCCCGAGGGGGAGGCGAACGGGGAAGGGGTGGACGAAGTAACGCTCGAGGCCGCGGGAGAAGCGAGGGGGGAAGATTGCTGACTGGCAGGATCGTCTTGGTACTGCTTACTTCGATTCTCGAAGGGTCGAGTCGACACCGGCTGACTCCCTGTGCCAGTGAACCCTAATGCCGTATTTTTGTCCCTGCTACTGTCGCTCCCGTCACTGTCACCCATGGCGCTACTGCTGCCGCTGCTGCCAAATCCGATGCTCCTCGTATTATTGTCCATATTCGCAACACTTATGCTCTTTAGCCTGCTCGCTGCACGCGCCATGGCCAGCTTCTCTCTTTTCCGACGCGCGCGCTCCTCTCGTCCGCCGACCCAATCCGCCGTTCCGCTTCCGCTATCCCCCCACTCTTCCCCCGGCTCCGCAGGTCTCCGCGAATTCGCAGCAGAAGCGACGCCTAGGCCGAGCAGCGACATCAGGTTCTCCAATGCCTGCAGCTGCTCCTGAAGCTGCGCTTGCAACTGCGCCTGCGCCTGCTGCAACTGAACCCCCACGCCTTCCCCGCCCGGTACGCCACCCACACTCCCCTCTTCCATCTCCCCAATCGCGTCCCTCACTACTGCTGCCGCATCACCAGCCGCTGTCGGGATCGTCGCTGCTTCGCTCGTCCCTGCCACTGCTGTTGCCGCCTCGGCAAGGCTCTTCTCCTCACTGCTGTTCGACGAGGAAGATGCGCCAGTATATGACTGCTCGCCGTTGATTAGGCCATCAGACGTAATGCCTGTAACCGCAGCAGATGGAATACCGACGTTTTTTACGCTCGCGAATTGCGGGGTTATTCGGTTCTCTGAACGATTCGCCAAGGCTCCGGCTCTGTACAATCCAGTTTCTCGCGGTGGTTCGGACTGATGCGCAGAGGACCAATCGTTCCCCAGCGATGATTGCGAAGATTGCGACGACTCGAGCGAGCTTTCGCGAATTGCGACCGACTGCGACGAGACATTGTTGTGAGGTATGTCAAGACGCTCAGTACCGCCGGCAGACGGCTGGTTGGCTTCTGGCATGGGAGCTCCATGGTGACTGATGTCCGAATGCTGAAATTCCGCTGCTCCAGACACATCTCCGGCTTGATGTTCTAATGTCGTCGCGTCAGGAGGCGGTGCGGGGTGGTCCGTCGTTGCGTCGCTCAATTCAGGACTCAACGGCTCTGCGATGTCGTCGAAATTCCTCGACCTGCATATTGACAGCCGCGACGGCCGATGCCTGATCGGCGAGACTCGCGCATCTACAGGTGTTGGAATCTGGGAAATGTGTAGCTTCTTGCTTGAGCCGTGGCGTGAATGTCTAACGGAGGCTCGAACGGCAACTCTGACACGGGATGTGGATAGGTATGAAAGAGGAGCGGACAATGCGAGTGTCGGAGCCATCAGGCAACAGAGATTGAAAGTTACTTATTGCTGAAGCTGTTCATCCCCACTGACATGGATTAGTAGATGACGACAATAAGTTAGTTCTAGAGCACACTACGTCGACATCGCATGAATGAACGGATGGGCTGATTGATGGATTAGTACGAGAACTGAGGCCTGTGGAGTGGAGCCATTGCACCACAGCATCTTGGCTCTGCTTGGAATCTGGACGAGAGTTGAAAGGATGGATTTGAGTCACTGTGTCTGACACAGAGCAAGCTGAGTGATGCAATCAGGAGAACACAAGTTGCATAAGGAAAAAAAAGTTTTTGTTACTGTCCCGAATTTGTTCGAAACGCGTACGCAGTGTTTTGTTCAGCTGGCGCTTCTTGAACGGGCCTTCAAGCTGAAGCAAGCTCAAAATAGTGCTGCTGGCGTCAGCTTGGGGGGTGTCGAATTTGCCTCGCGGGTCCTGATGACTTATAGGAACTTCAGCCAACTGCTGATGCGACCAGCTGGGCCGACGTCAGCAAGAAACAGAGTCACGAACGGAAACCGTGACGTTTTCATTCTGAGACACGACTTGAACTGATTGCCGTTTTTGTACCACCCATAACCTGCGCCAGAAAGCTCAGTTGACCAGCACTTCACGCGAATCGGACCGCCAGAGCCAGATCTGCGATGCCACGTCAGACCAGCCTGGCGACTTGACGTGGGTTTGGGATGCTGGCATTGGGATGGTCGTTAAGGCTACCGGACCGCGTGCATGTCTGCTTCCTCCCGGCTTCACCAGCTGTTGTGAACCTTTCTCACCATCACCCAGAACTTTACTCGTCGCTTTCTCTATGGCGGCTGGAGTTTCTAGATTCCAAGCAGAAAATTGAGGGCGAGCTGGCCTACGTCTTTAGGTATGCTCTTTGGTGCCACTTTTGCCGTTAACTCAAGATTAGCTCTTTGTGACTCGCGTATACATGCACTGAAGCTACCATCAGTTTCTACTAGATGCGATTGGTGCGATGGTGCTTTACGGGTTCCCTTCGTTTGCGAGCAGGACCTTATGCAAGGCAAGCTGCTCTTTAGCGTTTGTCGCGGAAACATCCCTTATTCATCTCCTTCCATCTCATCAATGCCTCGTCGGATATATGTGATAATACAAAAAATCCTACTTATCTTTCGCAGCTCTGTCGCCGAATACGATTAGAGGTGGCTGCTGAATGGTCACTATTCAAGGAGAAGTGGTCGATTATTGCATCTGGTATCCTTTTTCAGGCACGTCTCTCGTGCTCCTAAATTATCCTGGTTAAAAAAAATGAGGGCACCATTGACCATGTGTTTCTGCTCAACTGCAGTTTGTTCACGGTTTCTTAACTCGAACAGCTCACTTTCTCCACACTCCTCGTCCTTCGTTACATGATGTCGGGTTCGAACTTGTCCCTGTGAGCTTCTTCGTTAACCTCTGCCTTTCACATGAGCCGCTGTTGTATCTCGATCTGTCATGGCGTTACTCGAATTTGCTTGGTGTTGAAGTACTCACATGCTTTTTTGACAGGAAGTCGGTCCTGAGTATTTCTTCATCAGTGAATACCTCTTCTTCGCCATTTTCATTCCTTGCTGCGTTGTAAGCATTTGGAGTGGACTGCACTGACTCAGTCCGATTGCTTTCTCTAATGCTAAATGTTCTTGTATCCTGGCTTTCCCGTGATAGATGTGTTGCTTTAGTATCATCTGACACTTTCTTTTGTGTGTCTCAGTGGACATTCCATCCCTTCGTGTGCACCAAGAAGCAATTTTACACTGTGCTTGTGTGGTGCAAAATTCTGACGGTATTTGTGGTAAGAAGCTAGCTTAAGTTCTCCTTATTTTGGCTTGTGTGTCGGATAGTGACTGGTGATGGTTAATGTGGATAGAACGGGTGCCTTGACAGATGTGTCAGACTTTTCGGGTACTGTCTTTTACGGCAACACAACTACCTGGTCCTGCACATCATTGTAGACAGGTATGCTAGCATCGACTTCCATTTTCCCTCTCCTTCAGAGCTCGGTTTCTGTGTAACTCTTGTGGTCTTTATGAACGTGCAGGGATCTCCCACGGCTATCCTCAAATACACTGGAATCCATGACGTGCTGTACCTTAATGGTGGGCGAAGCATTGTTATAGGCATGCCTTGAGCAGAGCGGATTTCCAAACATCATTTTTCTCTCCTTTCTTGTTATCAATTTGTAACCAGTATCATATTGCTGCACCTGTGGTTGCCGCAGCCATGCATGGGTGTGGTGACCTCATCTTTTCCTCCCACATGACATTCATCCTCACTGTTGTCATCACCTACTCCAAATATGGAACCAATCTGTGAGCTCGTACTTCACCTGAATGCCTTGTTTTTTTGTGCTGGATGAATTCGTGTGTCTGATGACATCTTGTGAGCCTGCGTCTCGCTTGCCTTTGACTTCATTGCTGCCTTTTCAGCCTCTTCAAGCATCTGTCATGGTTATTGTCTGGAGTTATGTCGGTATTGATAATCGCATCACGCAAGCACTACACAGTGGACGTTGTCATTGCATGGTAAGAATTGAAAGATTCTGGGACAGCATGTTCGTTTGTTATTTTCGTCCGAGCTGACAGTTCTTTCATGTGTCCATTTTCAGGTACGTTGTACCTCTGGTCTACTACTTTGTTGAGCACAAGCTGGAGGACAACGGTATGAGCACAGTTCCTTGGATTGTTAATGTTCAGTACATAATGGCCCAATGGCCACTAATCTGTGTTTTAATGGATCACCCTGGACTCTTTGCAGTTGGCCCAAGAGACCTGCTTGAGCATAGCCCTTGTGACAAGATCCTACCACTCCACTCCTCGCCCTTCCACTTGTCATCGCAACTGGAAACCTCTTTTGAAGCTCAGGCATCCAATAACCATGCTTATACACTTGATCAAAACCTTTTGATCCGATCATTTCATGGCCTAAAGTACGTTTGGAGAAGATTGCAAGCCCCTTTTGTCAGAGTATGCCCTGACTCGCCGGATGAGGTAAGCCACCTCCAAACCCCCAAGCTCCGTCGTTCTTTTGATGTTGGCCCTTTGTTGCCGGTTGTTCCTAAAAAAAAAATCTCTGTGTCTTGCGTGCAGGAATATGGTAGTTTAAGAGCCAGCTTGTCTGGGGTTGATGTGAGATGAGAGCCCGAGGCTTTAAGAAAACCTGAACTGATCACTAACCAGTCAGGTTGTGCTCAAACTTCAATAGGGGGCTGGATATAAATGTGAGTATGGATAGCTAGGGTAAGGTGTGTGGGTTACAGTACTTCCAAACTGTACCTGGTGGTAGCACTTGTACGGTACCAGTTTTGAGTCAAAGAGCAAGGGTAGAGATGCTTTCGGACTACGGACAAAGGCCAAAGAGGCTGTCAAATGTACAATTTGCTCTGTCACACGGCCAGGAAAGTGGCCAGGAGGGACGTACGGTACCGGTATGTTAGAAGCAATGGGCTGAGAGGAGTTCAACAAGGGTAACCGGTGGGTTGGCGCGAGTGTTGAGAAAACCATGAGGGATCAGGAAAGGGAGTAGAGGAGGAGGTGGGTGTCAAGAACGGAATGGTGATGTTCTCTAAGATTTGTTGAGGTACATAAACCTAACCCTAACTGTTGTATCCCATATGACACACATCACTAAGACTATAACATCTGACAGTGGGCTATGAAAGTATCTTCTTATATCCTGTATTATACACATGTAATGTGATTATATATGCAATGCAGGTTTTGGTTCCTGAAACAAATGGCAATCTCAATAGCAAGTGAAGCAATTGTGCACATCTGTACAATGCTATTCCGAAATACCATTTGTTGTACTGGTTTTCCTTGTGTGAAGTACTGCTATTGCAATCAATTTTTCTTGATAAGTTTGCAGGAACTAGTCAGCAAAAAGATAACCCTAACGCAGTATACGCTGTTCGCCGTATGTACCGTATTGAAGTTGCTGAACTTGAACCCCGCTGCGAAATTGAGGGAAGAAAATATTGCCCAACCTATTTCGCCCAACCTTGGATCTCTCGCCAGCTTCTCTTCCCCCCACCTCAAGTTCTCCATTTTTTCTTCCAGCAATGTGTTGTCAGTCACAATTCTCCAAGCACAAGTTTCCCGCCCACCAGAAAGGCTGTTTTTCCACCGCCTTTTTCAACCCAATCAGAAAGTAGAGCTGGCGCGCCTCCATGTAGCTGATTGGTGATGAGAAGTGGGGTACACGTCATGCATTTCATAAACACGTCACTTCATGTGACCAGCTTCGGAGTTGCTTTCTTCACGTGGGTCTGCGAGGTACTGACCGTTCGAAAAAGCACACGTAGGCAAATTGGAAACACCCAAGGAGGATACTTTCTCCATAGATTTTCGATTCTGAATGACGTGGTCCAAGCCGAATCGTTCCTTCTTTTCTTTTCTTTCCTTGCTGGCATTCTTTGGGACCACCGTAGAAGCCAGTAAGGCAGTTTTTTACCGTTGAAGCTCAGGTCGAATCTACCACGGCGCGAATGTTTGGCCAAACATGACGTCAGCGATTCAAGCCCCACGGAATTCGACTGCATGGCATTTTGCCTCGGAGCATTCCCATTTCGCAGAGGGCTCTCCGATCATTCCATCTTGCCTTTCTCGACACATTTCTTATACTCCAAACCAATTTCAGTTCAGTGAAACACGTCCACGCCATCAGTTCACTCGTCCAAGCCTGAATTTCCCTATTCGTTCGGCCGACGGCTGCACGATTACAATACGGAGAGTAGCATTTTGATTTCCTCTGTTCTCTGTACGCCTTCGTTTACGTCAGGCATTCACCACCCCTCACCCGCCATTTGCCATTCGCCGATTCTCTGACTGCAATTCTCCATTACTTTCCCGAGGTGAGCTCCCAAGGTTATTTTTTAAATTGATTCCGATTCTTGTTTTGCTACTTGCTGCTGTGCAACCAATCAGCAAATAACATTTTGTGGTGGTTTGCGTGCAGGCACGAGGCACTGACGTCGGTGGCTGCAGCAACAATGACACGCTGGCTAGAGCATCATCAAGACGCCGGATGCAGCAAAAAACACTGCTGCGCCTTCCTACCCACCCCCTTCACCTGCTACGCTCCGCCTACCATCATCCAAAGTATGTGTTAAACTTCACTTTGTTGCTGTTTCAGCCGTGGTTTCGCCTTATGCGGTTCTCATACTGAGCTTCTTGTTTGCGTTGCCTTGCAGGATTCAGCAGCACCTATCAAGAAAAGCGTTGACAAAGCCATGAATACAAGCGAGGAAGCCTGCTCACGTCCTAACAATTGATTGCAACGGCGAAGGTTGGAGTATCACCTCACCTCCTGCCGCCACACTCCATTTGAGCCACCCCCCTGGTCGAGGTTGAGGTTCGGATCAGGTTCAGGTGCCCCTTCAGGTCTTTTTTATTTCAACCTGGCTCGTGTGGTGCTGTGGTCGTGCATCTGTCCTTCATTCGCATCTTCTTTCCGTTGGATTGTTGCCTGCCGCCATGTACTCACTGACTTCTCTCCTCGCTTCCCTGGCAGGTTTGAATGACCGCTGGAACGCCAAGGCCCTTCTGCTCACAAGGCTGGCGGCGTGGCCACAAGCTGCAGAGGAGCAAAAGAGGCAACTCATCATAGGCGCAAGGCAGCACCAGGGCCCCTCTGCACGCCTGCAAGCGAGCGCCAAGGCCTGCAGCGCCCGAGCACGCGCCATCAACAGATAAGCTCACCGCCCTTGGATTCTCATCCGCTCCCTGTCTGCTTTTGCAACCCCCATCCGCCATGCTGCCTGCCTTGCCATTTCCTCGCCTCCCCACCTGCTGCCGTGTCATCCGCCTCTCCATGGAGCCGGTTCAGGTGCAGGTTCAGGTGTAGGTCAGCTTTGGGTTCAGGTGAAGGTTCAGGTGAGATTTGAGAGGTGGAGGTACGAGGTGTGGTACTTGGCTTCTATGGAGGGCGTGGTTGGCATGGCACAGCGGCATACCCCATCTCATGCCATCCCATGCTCACGCTCACCATCACCCATTCTCCCCGTTCTGTCATCCATAGCGGCCCTGCACTCTCTCCTGCTCACTTCCCTCTTTCCTCCCTCCCTTCTACCCTGACTGCCAGGCCCTCTGCTTCAAGCCTGTTCAAGGTGCAACAGCAAGGTGAAGAAGCAAGGCGCAGCATCAAGGGGCAGCAAGGCACAGCAGCAAGGGGCAGCAACGCACCTTCAACGCTCCGCACAAAGATAAGCCCTCTCTCCTTGGTTTCATACCCGCTCCTTTTCTCTTTCAGCTCAAGCTCATGTTCCCTGCACTGTCATCCCCCCATCCGCCCTCCCCCTTGCTGTCATGCCAACTACCCCTCCACAGAGCCTTCCCCCTTGGTGAAGGTTCAGGTCTTGGTTCAGGTAAAAGGTGAAGGTTTGGTACTTGGCTCCTGTGGAGGGAGCATTGGCTGTTGCACCATCACCCACTGCACATGCACTCATTTCACCCCTTGTGTCCTCCATACCTTCCCTTCACTCATTCCCGCTCCCTTCCCTCTTCCTTCCCTCCGTCCTCACCCTATCCCTCCCTGACTGTCAGGCTCGCTGCTCCAAGCCTCTACTGGAGTGCAAGGCGCAGCAGGAAGGCCCACGAGCATGGCACAAGAGGAAGGCGCAGGACCAAGGCCCATCAAAGCACCATCAACGCTTTACACAAAAGATAAGCCCTCACCTATGGTTTCTTTCTTACCCACTCCGTTCCTGTTGCACACGAAAAGCTCTCCAGCCCACATCCCGACATGCTCTGCAATGGCATGCATACCCCCCATCTGCCTTCCTGCTTGCTGTCATGCCAACCACCCCTCCATAGAGCCTCTCCTGGTGAAGGTCCAGGTTTTTCTTTTCAGGTAAAAGGTAACGGTTTGGTACTTGGCTCCTGTGGAGGGCGTGGAGGGTGACCGTGTCATGACTCACTGCACATTCACGCTTCCCCCTTTCAAGTATCACCCTATACTCACTCCCGTTCCCTCCCCTCTTCCCTCCCCTCTTCCCTCCCCTCTTCCCTCCCCTCTTCCCCCCCCCCGCCCTCACCTCACCCCCGACTGTCAGGCTCACTGGTCCAAGCCTCTACAGGAGTCCAACGCGCAAGCACAGCAAGGCTCGGCAAAGCACCCTCAACGCCCACACAAAGATAAGCCCACAATCCTGGTTTCATACGCGCTCCATTTCTGTTTCAGCTCAATCTCTTCTTTGGGCCCAAATCCCAACACTCGCTGCACTGCCATACCCCGCCATGCGCATTCCTCCTTGCTGTCATGCCAACCACCCCTCCACAGAGCCTCCCTTCTTGGTGAATGTACAGGTTTCTTTTCAATTAGAGGTTCAAGTTATGGTTCAGGTGCAAGGTAAGTTTGGTTTGGTACTTGGCTCCTGTGGAGGGCGTGTTGGCACTGCAGAATGCCCCGTCTCATCTCATCCCATGCCATGCTCTCACCGCGCTCATACCGCCACCCTCCCTGCACATGAATCCTGGCCGTGCGCTCACTCTCTTCTCCCGCCCTTGCCTGCTCGCATGGCAGATGCACCGTCCCAGCGCCCCCACTCGCCCAGGGGTCAGCAACAGGGGCAGCTCGCAGGTCAACTCGACGGCCCACAGCGCTGCCAGGGGGCGCCTCTCACTGCTCCTCGTGTCTGTGTGAGTGCCATCCTCCACCTCGCTTCACTTGCTCTGCTCCTCACTTGTGCTTGCTTCATGCTGCTGCTGCTGCATGCACTCGCTCATATTACTCAATTAGGGTCAACACTAATGCTCCACCATGCCCCTCCCCTGTGGCCGTGCAGGTATGCACGGGGATGGGAGGGAGGCAGCACTGCCTGCAGCAGACTTGAATCGCTGCCACGAGGGAGAGTATGGGGATGGGCTTGGCCTCTCAAGGTGCGTCAGCTCCCCTCCTTGGCCTCATCCCTCCACCCCTTGAGTTTTCTAATTGCTGCAGCTGTCTCTTTGTTTTTTCCATTTTCGTTTCTGTCAGCTTGAGTCTGCTCCTTGTTTCTGCCAACTCACCTGTTCCTCCTCCCGCCCTTCCTCTCCTGTCCCTCCTCTCCATTGTCTATGCCCGCTACCAGGTCACTTGGCATCGAGCGAAGACTGTAGCAGAGCAAGCTGTGTAGCTGTAGCAGACCAGCAGCAGCAGCTGCAGCAGCTGAAGCAGCAGCAGCAGCAGTGGGGGTTGGGGGGCTAGGCTAGGCTAGGTCAAGGTGTGGGAAGGTTTGGTAAAAGGTGTGGTAAGGTTCCAGGTGGGTATGGTGATCTGATTCCCTCCTCTCTCTTTCTCCCCCATTTCTTCCCCGCAGCTTGAGAGTGGGAGCACAGGAGCAAGGGCGGAGTGGGGAGTCGACCCATTCACCCACCTCCTCCTCTCTCCCTTTTCCCTTCCCTCCCAGCAGCACCCTGCCTAGACCACAGTGGAGTCTCGCCCTTTGTTAATCCCTCCCCCTCCCTTCCCACTTCCCAGCAGCCTCAGGCATCATGGCGCTCTGCATGGCTGCATGGTAGGTAGAGGTAAAGAGGCATGGGGTGAAGGGAGGTGGGCGGGTGGGTGGAGGCATGGGAGCAAACGGGCAGTTCACTTCCTTAGGGGCAGCATCCTTTGGGGTTGTGGCTTGTGGTTCGGCGTGTGGTGGGTGGAATCTGAGCGGCACGGGACTCGGTGCTCAAGTAACCGATCTGGCGTTCAAAGCTTAATGGACACCGTCAGAGTCGACCGGCCGGCGGCTCTGGTTCGCGTTAGCTCTAGCCACGTCAGGGGTGGGATTTGAGTCTTGGGCTGGAAGCGATTTCCCACTGGCACACCTCGCCCCACAAGTCACAGCCCTTCAGGGTGCTGTTTTTGAAAGGGAGTGGGCTGTCAGCTGCTCTTACTGCTGGCAGGTGAGGGTCGGAAGCTAGGGGTGGTAGTAGGGAGTTGGTATGGTGCTGTGGTATGATAAAGTGTGGTATGATTTAGTATGGAATAACACATTCTGGTATTCCACTGTGTAGTATGATATTGTGTGGTCTGTATGATCTAGTATGGTATTGTACTGTATGCCCATCAATTTCCATCCCATCAGTTTCCACCCCATCACTTTCCACCCCATCAGCTTCCACCCCATCAGTTTCCACCCCATCAGTTTCCGCCCCATCAGTTTCCACCCCATCAGTTTCCACCCCATCAGTATCCACCCCATCAGTTTCCACCCCATCATTTTCCACCCCATCAGTTTCCACCCCATCAGTTTCCACCCCATCAGTTTCCGCCCCATCAGTTTCCACCCCATCAATTTCAGTGTGGTGTGATTCGGTGTGGTATGGTACAGTGTGGTATGGTACAGAGTGATATCGATACAATGCAGTGTGTGTGTTATCTAATGTGGTGTGAGTGTGTGATGATATATGCAGAGTAATGATGATACAGTGTGGTGTGGTTCCAATGATGGTGGCATGATATGGTATGACATAGTGTGGTGTGATAGAGTGTGGTATGATGCCACGTGGTGTGTTGCAGTGTGATACGATACCATGTGGTACAATAGTAGTGTGATACGATACTATTTGGTACAAGAGCAGTGTGATTCGCTTTGTGGTACAGTAGCAGTGTGGTATGATTCTGTGTGGACTAATCATGTGGGATGATGTAGTGTGGTATGATACAGTGTGCTATGATGTGACATAGTGTGGTGTGTTATTGTGTGATTCAGTATGGTCTGTCAAATGTTGTTGTGTGTGGCATGGTATGGTATGGGGTGGGATGTCATGTTGTGGCATATCATAGCGTGACATGTCATGGCATGGTGTTGTGTGGAGTGGGCATGTCATTCGGTGGCATGTAATCATGTTCGATTACATGTCATGGCGTGGCATGTCGTGTTGTAACATATCATTGTGTGGCATCGCATGTTATCATGTGGCATGCCATCATGCCATCTACAGACTGGCAGCAGCTTGAGGAGCATGTGGAGGACCGGGGAAGGCAAGAAGGACAGTCCAGGAGGGAAGTGGGGGAAAGTGGGATGCAGGAGTGGGGGTTTGCAGATTATGGCTGCCTCAGATGCTATGCCATACAATCACATACATTCACTATAGTATGTTAACAACTTGCTACATGTATCTGATTCTGCTTAGAGTTCAGGGCGTTGTCTTGTCTGGTTTGTTCAACGGTAGATATTTGTTATTTAGTCTGGTACAGTGTGTTGCTGCACCTTTAGGCTAAGCGATGGGGGATGTACATATATTCGGATAAACTGATTCTCTGAATGGTGTAACTGAAATCTCTATATTCTCACAACCTTATCACTACCGTAGGTAAGATGTTGAACTGCAGCCCCCCTGTGAATCACGCTGTACAGCTGCTATGTAATTGCCAATGTATAACCACCACACCTGACAGATCCAAACATACAGCCTGCCCCCAATATAATATTCATGTTATCTACCGGTAACACTCCTTGCAGAACAGGGAATCATTTGAACTACCGTAACTGCTGTTGTTATCTAGTATTTTTCTCCGTGGCTGTCGGGGTGATGGCTCGATATACGCACGCTCTCCGCGCTCGTCAAAATGCCACCCTTGCTCGACCCCGCATCTCGGCGCCTCCCACAATTCAAACTTCCAAACCCACGCCTCGATTTCGCCATTTCTGTTTCGTAACCCTAGCTCCCCTTGTCATTCCTCTCCTCACCTCTCGTCGTCTCCCCGTTTTCCCGTTTCCCCGTCTCGCTGTCTGTCAAAATTATCTTCTCTCTAGTTTTGGTGAAAGAACTTAGGTGAAACTGCTTGAGCGTAGGCGTTTCACCTAAGAAGTTTTGTCGCGTAGGCGTTTTAGCTGAAGCATTTAAAGCGAAATGGAAGAGTCTGATTTATTGGAGAAAGATCTGATCGACCGCGATAAATTTCGGGGCGGCGATCGACCTCCAGAGGCTGTTGATTCTGGAAAAGATGCCGCGAACGGAATAGCAACGAATAACGAAGACATTGCTATGGCGGACGCTGACGGCGAAGGCCTTCTCGAGAACGGCGTTGCGGATGCGACCGACGCGGAGCCGGTCGCTGGACCGACGACTGCGGAGGGAGGAAAAGACGAGGAAATGCGAGACGCGGAAGCGGTGACAGGCGACGGCGACGCGAGCGACGGTCGCGCGAATGACGTCGAGCGCGTCGACGCGGCCGCTGCGCCTGACGCAGCTGCTGCGACGCCCGCAGGTGCGGACGAAAATGCGGGTGTCGACGCGGCGGGTGTTGAGGCTGGTGGAAATAAGCAAGCTGATGGCGTGGCTAACGGAGTTGACGGCGAGGGGGGAACGGAGGGCGCGGAGGAGCAAGAAGGGAAGAGTGGCGAGGCGAAGGAGCAGCGGGCTGATGAGACGCGCGACGACGGTGGGTTGGAGGAAAAAGCGGTGAAGGCGGAAGAGAAAGCGGAAGCGAAACCGGAGGACCAAGCGGAAGAGAAAGCGGGAGAAAAAATGGAGGAGGAATCGGGGGAGGGGGCGGAAGGGAAAGCGGAGGGGAAAGCGGAGGAGGAAGCGGAGGAGGAAGCGGGGGAGAAAGCGGGGGAAAAAGCGGAGGCGGAAGAGAAAGAGGAGGGGAAAGCGGACGAGAGAACGGAAGAGAAGATAGAAGAGAAAGCAGAAGAGGAAGCGAAAGCGGAAGGAGAGGCGGAAGGGGGTGCGGCGGAAGGAGTGGAGGCGGAAGGGATGGAAGCGGCAGGCGGAGAAGTGGCAGCAGAAGGGGGAACGGCGTCCGCGACTGATGCGGGTGAGAAGGCCCGCGACGAGGCGGAGAAGGGGAGCGCGGAGGAGGAGGAAGAGGGGAAGGACGAGGAGGAGGGGACTGAGGGGACCGAAGCGAAGGAGGGGGAGGCGGAGAAGGAAGAGGAGGAAGTGGAGGGGGAGGGGGAAAAGGAAGAGGAGGGGGAGGCGGAGAAGGAAGAGAAGGGAAAAGAGGGGAAAGCGGGGAAGGACGCGAAGGAGGGGAAGGGCGAAAAGGAAGAGGACGAGGAAAAGGGGCCGAAAGAGGGGAAGAAGAGCAAGGGGGGAAAGGAGGAGGTGCGGCGGAAGCAGCGGGAGGACAGGCCCGGGCAGGGCGCGGACGGCAGCGACCAGCGCAAGGCAGCAAAGAGCGCGTCCCCCCATCTCCGCCCCCACGGCACGCCCGCCAAGGCCTCCGCCAAAGCCCCCCCTTCTCCCGCCACCCCCGCGGCTGGCAGGGCGCGCGCGGGGGAGGAGGAGAGCGGGGGGAGCGAGGACGAGGGGGAGTGGGCGCCAGTGGTGCACGAGCTGGTGTGGGCCAAGGTGCGCTCGCACCCCTGGTGGCCTGCGCGCGTTCTCTCCCCCTCCGAGGCCACCCCGCGCGCGCGCGCGCAGCACCGCTCGGGGCACCTGCTCATCGGCTTCTACGGCGACCAGACCTTGTGAGTGCCCTCGCCCTGCTCGCCCGCGCGCCTTCTGAGCCCCCTGCCGCCCGCCTTGTGAGTGCCCTGTCGCTTTGTGAGTGCCCTGCTGCCCGCCCGCCTTGTGGGTCCCTGGGTGCTGTCGTAATCACCAATCATTCTTGCAATCACCACTGCTGCATGCGTGTGTGCTGCTGGCTGTGCTCTTGGGGCGTCTGGTTGACGCAGAGGGCGAGCGGACAGAGCAGCCTGAGGGAACCACACGGCAGGCAGCACTATTGCTATTCCCCCCTCGCCTTATATCCGCCCCTCCTCCCAACTCTCTTCCTTCCCAACCTCCCCGTTTCCACCCCCCTTCCCTGCACAACAGCAACTGGTTGCGCCCCATGGATCTGCTGCCATTCGCGGAGCACTACTGGGACAAGTCGCAGCAGACGCCCATGAAGCTCTTCTGCCAGGCCGTGGCGGAGGCCCTCGTGGAGCTGGACGACCAGGTCGCCAAGGGGCTGCTGCACGGCGCCCCGCCCTCCACCCTTGCTGCACAGCACCGCCGCGTCAACCCCAGTACGTGCTAGTCTGCCGTTACTAACAGTAGCTCTTACTTAGGCCGTGGCAGAGGCGCTGGTGGAGCTGGACGAGCAGGTGGCCAGGGGCTGCTGCACGGCGCCAGGCCCGCCACGCTCGCCGCACAGCACCGCCGCGTCAACCCCAGTACGCCCTACCCTGTATCCCTTAGTTAGTAGGTGTTACTTTTGCTGCCAATCCTGTTATGCGCCAGTCTGCTCTCTGCTTTGGGGCCTTGCCCTGCCGTGACTATGGACTTATTGCAAACTGCGTGTTGTTTCTCCTCTCTTCTTGCCCTGCCTGCTCTCCGTTTTCCACCTCTCTCTCTCCGTTCGTCTCCTCACTCCTCTCCTCGCCTCCTCACCTCTCCTCTCTTTCCTCTCCACCCCTCGCGTTCTCTCCTCCCTCGTGCCCCCCACCAGCCGTCATGCTATCCTACCTGCGAGCCACGGCCCGCAATCCCATCG